GACCGGTTGGGGGTCGCGGCATTAAAAAGGTTGAGAACCACTGAGATAGATAGATAGATGATAGATAGATAGATAGATAGATAGATAGATAGATAGATAGATAGATAGATAGATAGATAGATAGATAGATAGATAGATAGATAGATAGATAGGTGGGTGGGTGGGTGGGTGGGTGGATGGATGGATGGATGGATAGATGGTTGAGTGGTTGGATATACATAAATGATAGATGATAGATGATAGATGACAGATTAGATAGACAGACAGACATAGACAGACAGACATAGACAGACAGACATAGACAGACAGACATAGACAGACAGACACAGAAAGATAGATAAGATATAGACAGACAGATACAGACAGACAGACAGACAGATAAGATATACATACAGATAGACAGATAGACAGATACCGTGTTTCCACCAAAAATAAGATCTGGTCTTATTTTCAAGGTAGGTCTTACTTTCAGGGAAACACAGTAGATGGATGATAGGCAGATAGATGACAGACAGACAGACAGACAGACAGACAGACAGACAGACAGACATAGAGGAATGAATGGATAGATGAATGGATATAGATAGGCACGTAGACAGACAGACGGATGTATTTTCAATGCAAAAACCACAAAACAGAAATAACGATATCAACAATTGGCCTGCTGGGATCAGATTGGAGATGCCCAGGACCGTCCCAAAACATGGGGTGCAGAATTAAAAAAGAGAGAGAGAGAGAGAGAAAGAGGAAAAACATTTCCTCTGGCCCAGCAGTGTGCAATATGGTCCCTTTTAGCACCTGTGGACTTCAACTCCCAGAATCCCTCAGCTAGCCATAGCAATTCTGGGAACTGAAGTCCCCAGGTGGTGAAGGAGCCGTAGTTAACCCGCCACCTCCTGCTCTGGCCAGTAACTGGGTTGGGTTGAGGAAGAGCTGACCACGGAAAACAAGAAAAGATTAGGACTCACGTGGTCCAGAAGAAATCCACCGGGGTGGGGTTGCCCCTCGCACTGCAAACGAGTATGGCGTCATTGCGGGTCAAATACCAGTTGTCGTCGTAGCCCTCTATGGCAACCTCCGGGGCATCTGCAGAGAAAGCAGTCAAAATAGCTCAGACTTGGCTGAAGACGTGCGCCGCACAGATGCACCCACACACGCAACTTTCCTTCTCTGTCTTCCTCGACCTTCTTGCGGCAAATATTCTATATTTGCTGCTGAAAGTCTGACTTCTCTCCCCACCCAACCGCCTTAACCCCTCCTTCTCCACGCCGGTGTTGGGAAACTGCCAGCTGGGCTGGAAGGAGGGGTCAAGTGAGGAACTAGCCTTGGGGAACAAGCAGCAGCAACTTCCCCTTTCCCGAGATCCATGAACAGCCTCATCTGGTTGTTCCCAGGGGAAGGTAAGCAGTCTGGGGAGATTCTTGTAACACAGGTGGTAAACAATGAAGTTATGGTTTATTATTATTATTATTGTTGTTGTTGAATAATAATAATAATAATAAGTGTTCACCGAGACCGACGAACGTAGACTGTCGACCTACTTAAACTCGGTCGGGAAAGGAAAGTTGTAGACCTGCAATTTTTTGTACTACCAAATACCCACTATTAAGGTCCACTGTTCTCTCGGTCCCACCACGTCTTCAATTCCTCGACTTGATCCCCACCCTCTTAACACCAAGACACAAAATAACAAGAGTTGGAAGGGGCCTTGGAGGTCTTCTACTCCAACCTTCCCTATATGATTCCAGACAAGTGGCTGTCCAGTCTCTTCTTAAAAGCCTCCAGTGATGGAGCGCCTATAACCTCTGAAGGCAAGACGTTCCACTGGTTAATTGTTCTCACTGTTAGGAAGTTTCTCCTTAGTTCCAGGTTGCTTCTCTCCTTGATAGGTTTTCCATCCGTTGCTTCTTGTCCTGCCTTCAGGTGCTTTGGAGAAGAGCTTGACTCCCTCTTCTTTGGGGCAGCCCCTGAGATACTGGAAGGCTGCTATCATGTCCCCCCTCGTCCTTCTCTTCATTAAACTAGACATATCCAATTCCAGCAACCGTTCCTTATATGTTTTAGCCTCCAGTCCCCTGATCATCTTTGTTGCTCTTCTCTGTACTCTTTCTAGAGTCTCAGCATCTTTTTTACATCGTGGTGACCAAAACTGGATGCAGTATTCCAAGTGTGGCCTTACCAAGGCCTTGTAAAGTGGTATTAATACTTCACGTGATCTTGATTCTAACCCCCCCCCCTCCTCAGCCATGGAAGCTGCTGGGAGGACCCTGGAGCAATCCCCATTTCCCTCTCTCAATCCAACCCATCACACGGAATTGTCATTGAGCAGGGGTAGGCAACCTTGGCTCTTTTATGACTCGTGGACTTCAACTCCCAGAATTCCTGAGCCAGCGTGGCTCAGCTTGGAAACCTCTCCCTTTCCCCTCAGCATGGCTGGCTCAGGAATTCTGGGAGTTGTAGTCCACGAGCCATAAAAGAGCCAAGGTTGCCTACCCCTGTCATTGAGGGACAGAAATGCAAGCTTGGAACACGACACGTGCTGGCTTGCGCTCCTACAGATCTGACCCACAAATAAACTCCAGGGACACCCTCTCTTAGTCCCCCAAAGCCGCGACACCCCACTCCACTCACACAATATGGAAAGCTGGACAGGGAAGGACTCGGCTTGCGGCAGGGCGACGTATTCGACAAGGCAGGTGATCTGCTGCTCGTTGGCCTCCTTGGTGGGGATCAAGTTGTAGTAGCTGGTGACGGTGACGGTGCCGTCGAGGTTATTTGTCAGCGAAACACTGGAGTTGCCGTTCAGCTTCGACTGCCAGGTGATGCGCGCCGGCGGCTTCCCGTTGGCGGACGTGCACACGGCCACTGGCTGCTCCACGTTGCTGGCCTTCACCTCCTCGGCCGCAGCGCTGTTTGTGGGCTTGGCTGGAAGAGGAACAGACGTGCAGGTGAAAAAGCTGCATTTGCAGAAGGTACATGACCCTAAGACCAGGCTGTATGAACAGTGTTTCTCAACCGGGGCAGCTTTTAAGATATGGGAACTTCGACTCCACTGAATTCTGGGAGTTGAAGTCTGTGCATGCTGGCTGGGGAACCCTAAGCCAGCGGTTCTCAACCTATGGGTCGCGACCCCATTTGGGGTCGATCGACCATTTCACGGGGGTCGCCAAGCAAGCCTGTCCGCCATTTTTTTCCCCTTTTCCGGCGGGTGCCTTACCTCCCTTGGGCTGGGCCAGCTGGTGGTCGGCCTGCTCCGTCTCTGCCGCTTGCCAGCTACGCCTCGACCGGCGCAGGGGGCGGAACCACGCATGCGCGGCGCTCCCGGGCAGGGAAAGTCCTCGACTTACGACCGGTTGGGTAGTCCTCGACTTACGACCGGTTTAGTCCTCGACTTACGACCGGTTTAGTCCTCGACTTACGACCGGTTTAGTCCTCGACTTACGACCGGTCGGGGGTCGCGGCATTAAAAAGGTTGAGAACCACTGCCCTAAGCGTTGAAGTCCACAAGTCTTAAAAGCTGCTAAGGTTGGACACCCCTGGTTTAAGTGATGGGGATTATGCCCCCCTCCCCAGGAGTTACAGGTTATAGTTAGGGACTGTTTTCCTTGCATCACCCAATCTTTCTGCCCCACTTCAGACATGGGAAAAGGACCCCTCCGTGCTAGTTCAAAAGCTGGTGTCAGGGGACCTTTGTTTTCAATTAATTTGCACAGCGTAAATACATCATTTTGGGGCAGGGGGAGGAGACTACAAGAGACAAGAGTCTCTTCTACAATTTTGTCCTCATCTGCCAGACTTCCCCCACCCCCAGAGGTGCCGTCTATTTCGGAGAGAAAGTTCTGTAATCCTAAAGTCCTCGAGGTGTTTGCCGTTTTGGGAGCGAAAATGAATGGAATTTCCAGATAAAAGAGAAGGAGAGGAGTTGGGAAATTTCCCACCAATTCCCCTGTAATCATAAGGGCCAGAAGACATTCACAGCAAAGCACGAATGGGTTTCTGGGTAGAACGCACAGCGCACAGGGCAAAAATCCCTATAATTTCTGTAATTACAACTTAGGTTAAAAAAAAATCGTTCTCAGGAGATACCTTACTTTTTTTTTGCAGGTCATAAAAAAAGGGGAGAGGTAAGAAGGATGTTGGGATTCTACCCCAAACTGCTGGAAATTTTGCACAGCCTCTCTCATTGGTGTCAAAATTTTCAAGCAGGCATTGCTGTAAAAAAAACGACATCTCTGAGATTTTTTGGGGTAACTCTATATTATAGATAGCCCTTTCAACTGCAACCGGTCCTTTAGCAATCGTCCGAAGTTACACTGGCACTAAAAAAAAAAGTGACTTACGATCAACAAAGATGATTAGGGGACTGGAGGCTAAAGCATATAAGGAACGGTTGCTGGAATTGGGTATGTCTAGTTTAACGAAGACAAGGACGAGGGGGGACATGATAGCAGTCTTCCAGTATCTCAGGGGCTGCCCCAAAGAAGAGGGAGTCAGGCTATTCTCCAAAGCACCTGAAGGCAGGACAAGAAGCAACGGATGGAAACTAATCAAGGAGAGAAGCAACCTAGAACTAAGGAGAAACTTCCTGACAGTTAGAACAATTAACCAGTGGAACAACCTTCCTCCAGAAGCGGTGAATGCTCCAACACTGGAAGTTTTTAAGAAGAGACTGGACAGCCATTTGTCCGAAATGGTATTAGGGTTTCCTGCCTGAGCAGGGGGTTGGATTAGAAGACCTCCAAGGTCCCTTCCAACTGTTATTGTATTCTATTCGATTACATTTTTTAAAATTAAGAAAAGCGAGGCTCTGCCGGGGGGGGGCCTTCATACAGTCCCATATTCTGCGCTCCTGCAAAACGGAGAATCTTTGCATTTTAAATACAGCATCTTTCTTATGGGGTGGGCAAGCTTTAAAGGTCAAGCCGAGAAAGTCCGTGTCTAATTAAGACCTACAACTAAGAAAAGGGAATCCTCTTTTTTATTTATTTTTTCCCTCCTAAGGTCCATCAGATTTTTCAAACCAGGACACTTGAAAGAGGACACCCTTACCAAATCTCTCCGCAGCGAACCCGTTAGGAGAAGCGAATCCGAAGTAGGGTTAGATCTGAGCAGACACAAGGCTTTGGGGTGGGGGTGGGGCAGTGTTTTGCTCCGCAAAAGAACCAATTACTGGTGTCATTAGCCTAGTTCCCTATGCAATAATGAGTGGCCCGTAATTAATTAGAAGAATGGGGACACGCCACTATCTCGCAATCCTAGAATGCATGACCTAGCAAATCAGCTTAGCTTAACGCACAACAGCCCTTGGGAAGTCATTCAAAACCATCAGCAACACTTGAATGCCAGATGCAGGGGCACCGAGACAGATGTGGTGGGCTTTGCTCGGTGGAAGATTCAGGGGGCCGAAGGCCCACTACGCCAGAGGACTCAGGCAAGGTTGGAGTAGTTGAGCAAATAAATAAATAAATACACGTTAGGGCAGGTTGGGGTCTTTAGAAGGGTAGGTGTCTACGCCTTTTATAATTCTCCTACAAGCAGCAATTTATTTAGCAGATTTTTTTCCCCTATTGTGACTGGGGGGGGGGTGTACAAACTTAAAGTATTTAATATAGATTTATTTTCAGCCAGAGATCAGCCTTTTATTTTTTTTTTAGGATTCCAAAGTCAAGTTTTGACACCACCCATCTCCGAGTGGCCAAGGTTGAGAAATACAGGCCCAGGCCAAGGGTAGGGCACCTTGGCTCTTTGATGACTCGTGGACTTCAACTCCCAGAATTCCTGAGCCAGCCGTGCTGAGGGGAAAGGGAGAGGTTTCCATGCTGAGCCATGCTGGCTTAGGAATTCTGGGAGTTGAAGTCCACCAGTCATGAAGGGGCCAAAGTTTCCCTCATGCCAGCTCAGGAATTCTGGGAGTTGAAGTCCACCAGTCATAAAAGAGCCAAGGTTGCCTACCCCTGGGCTAAGCTCTTGTTTTACCAATGGCTGCTACCACACCTTCTCCAGGGTTATCTCTGTGTTCCCCGGCAGCTTCACCAATTGTCATAATATCGCTTACTTGGCTTTGCCTTCCCACGTGATATAGAGACTGGGTCAATGCAATTCCACCGCCGGCAGCTCGGCCCAAGGCGTAGAGCCGTGTCTTAGGGGTTCCCCCCACAAACCACAACTCAGCATTTCACAACTTAACTGGGTGTGTCAACCCTGCCAACCCTGCCAACCCTGCCAGCTGGAGGCCGTCCACCTGCAGATCGAAGGCGAGTGCTTGGTTGTTCTTACCCAAGACAATCAAGTTGGTGGTGCCAATTTCATTGCCGTGGGGGTAGGTGGCAAACTCGCAAGAGTAGGTGCCTTCATCCGTCATGAGAAGGTGTTCAATGACCAGCGTGGCGTCCGTCAAGGATGGTACGTGAAAAACGATGCGCCTGCTATTCTTCTCCATTGGATAGTTTTGTCCGTGCTTTGGATGGTACACGGCCACATTCTGCCTCCGGCCTTCGACCTCCTTCACCCAGGTCACTTGGCTGACCTGCATCTCAGGCTCAGTTACCACAATGTTGCAGGGTAGGACCACCTTCTTTCCCAGGTACCCGGTGACCTCATGGTTGACCGTCACTTGCTGGGCGAGTACAACTAGAGAAGCAAAACATAAGGCAGCTGAGTTAACAGCTCACACTTTCCGGCAATTGAGAAGCCCTTTTGAAGACAAACTAGGAACAATTTTATTTTTAAAACGAGCAATGGTTCGGCTGTGCTCGTCAAACCTTGACCCGGATGGGGTTCACACGACATGCTAAACCCCAAACGGTGTTTGAGCAAACAATTGCTAAATTCATCTCACCCGTGATGTGATGCCCAAAGAAATCAAATTCACGACGGTTTAAAATGATGGTCCAGTTTATACCACAGACTAAGACAGTGGCTGCATTCCCACAACACACAGAAAACCCTCCAAAGCTATTTTTTTTAGCCTAGTCTAGAACTCAACTCAGCCAGTGAAAAATTGAAACGGGAAATTGCATCCTATCAGAAAGGAAAATATTTAAAATGAAATAAGATGGGAGTGTAAGTACCCTACACTCAATGTTTAAAGCACATCCTGTACATTGGGGTGTGGGGTGTAAAAGCACCCCTCCGGTAGGTGGTGGCAAAAATCACATTTCTTCTTTAAAAATAAAATTTAATTGAAGAGGTTTTTAAACAAGAACAAAAACAATGCAAATATTAAAAGAACAACAAAGAAAATAAGAAGGAACGGCGTATACATAAGAAAATAGAAACAGAAATAGAGAGAAAAATCTTTGCAATCTTTTTGAGTGATTACAAATGCATTTATATTTTACCCTTTTGCTTCCTTCTTCCCATAACTACCCTTTCTAATAGTCAGCATGGCTGGCTGGGGAATTCTGGGAGTTGAAGTCCACACTTCTTAAAATTGCCAAATTTGAGACTTACTACTTTATACCTTAAACCAGAGGTAGGCAACCTTGGCTCTTTTATGACTCGTGGACTTCAACTCCCAGAATTCCTGAGTCAGCATGGCTCAGCATGGAAACCTCTCCCTTTCCCCTCAGCATGGCTGCCTCAGGAATTCTGGGAGTTGAAGTCCACGAGTCATAAAAGAGCCAAGGTTGCCTACCCCTGCCTTAAACCCATCCTATTTAGATACACGTGGTTTGGGCTCACCCTACAATTGTGCCATTTAACATCCCTCCCTATTGTTAACATCTTTTTTGGGGAACAGAAGGAAGCTTTTGACATGTTGATGTGACGCGGAATTAACACACTGAAACCCTAATAAATTGGAAAGAACGCTGACTCAGCCCGAAGCACAGAGAGCAATTAAAAAGATGGTTTCACTTCTTTTCAAAGACGGGATCTAAAGACTTGAAGTGAAGGACCAGGATCCCTCTCTCCTTTCAAAATAACTCCTCGACTGACATAAAAGGAGATTTGATCTAAAGGTAGTTCTTGACTTCTGACAGCTGAGCCCAAAATTTCTGTTAAGCAAAACAGCAGTGAATTGTGCCCCATTTTACAACCTTGCCACACTTATTAAGTGAATCTCTTACGTTGTTAAATGAATAACCCGGTTGTTAAATGAGTCTGACTTCCCCCTGGACTTTGCTTGTCAAAAGGTCGCAAAAGTGGGAAACCACATGACCCCGGGACACTGCAACCGTCATAAATACGAGTCAGTTGCCAAGCGTCTGAATTTTGATCACGTGGCCCTGGGGATGCTGCAACGGTCATAACTGTGAAAAATGGTCATGAGTCACCTTTTTCAGTTGTAACTTGGAACGGTCAATAAATGAACAGTTGTAACTTGAGGACTACCTGAATATGCTTCTGTGTGGTTAAGATTTTGACATTTTTTTTAATATTTACTACAATAGTTACACATCACTATCTTATCCTTTCTCTTTTTGTTCATCTGCTTCTTTCTATATTGTTCTGTAGGACTTTTTTTTCCCCTTTTCTCTTATGGATATAAATATTTTACGTATACCAATGGAAATAAGAACGCTATTAATTGACATATTTATAAAAGCCATGTTAAACTAATAATGTATATCAGGCCTTCTCTGCAGTAGCCTGTGAAATATGTACCTTTTTCTGAATTTTAGGAAATGGCTCAAATTTTCCGTATTAAACAGGCTTTGGATGCCAAAATTCAGGAAGAAAATAATGACCGTCTTATTTTTTACTATCTGATTGTTAAAAGTTCATTTAAGTACATTGGCAGATCGTTTTATGCTGTACTTTTTCCCTTATAAGGCCAGAGTCCTTAATATCATTATGCCTCCTGCCTCCCAAGGACTCAACTGTTAATTGCAAATATTAATTAAAAATAATAATAATTTTCAGGGCAATATGTACATAGGCTAGCACACCTGGGTCAATCAACCAACTTGCTTTTCAACTACCCAAACCCTGAGAGATAGGCTGGGTTGACCCAAAGCCATTCCCTGGATGCGAATGGACGTTAATATAACCCTTTAATTATTACTATGTTCTTTTACTTTCTTCTTTTTTTGGCGCTGCCACCAAAATTGAAATAATGGGGTGTTTCTCCAGCTGCACGGACAAATTAAGTCGCTGATGCTATGCCAGGCTTTTAGCAAATGTGTTTTATGAATGCAAGGTTTTTTTATAAGGTGCAACAGGACAGCCTAATATATTGCTGCTTCTATTTATTCATTGGTTAAATCAGTGTTTTTCAAACGTGGACACTTTTAAGATGGGTGGACTTCAACTCCCAGAATTCCCCAGCCAGCATGGCTGGCTGGGAAATTCTGGGAGTTGAAGTCCACCCATCTTAAGGTAGCCAAGGTTCAGAAATAGCAAACTGGTTCTCCACGTGGCATTGCATAATACTCTAGGTCCTTGCTGGCCGAGGAATTCTGGGAGTTGAAGTCCACCCATCTTAAAGTAACAAGGCTGAGAAACAATGCTGGCCAAGGAATTCTGGGAGTTGAAGTCCACCCATCTTAAAGAGGCCTAGGTTGAGATTCCAAGAAAAAAACAAGCCTGACTGCAGCCTGGATTACAAAGGAACTTTTGATTTTGGCACTTCCTGAATTGAAAATCCATGAAACTGTCATTTGAGAGTGAGATCACCAAGCGAAAGGCAGCAGCTCAGCCAGCTAAGCAGACCAGCCCCAATTGTCAAGAAAGGTGTGGCGGTGTGACACAGCAGCTTCAAACGAAGCCTCACAATTGTCCGGGCTCTGCGTGGAGCCACGGGTTCAAGGAAATCAGGATGTCACTTGTGCAGTCAAAACACCTGTTGGATTGTTTGTCCGGTTATGAAAGTAAACATCTGACAGGGCTTTTTTTTTTTTCCCCAGGCTGTGGGTGGAAAACCAACTTGCTCTCCCCAACACTGATCAGCAGTAGATATTTATTCATTTAAAACATTTATATAGATGCCCCTCTGATATCAAACTTGAAATATAAGTTAATGGACTTTAGGGAAGAAGGAATCTTGTGGTTCTCTAGGGGGGAGGACATGGCTAAACACCATAAAATTGGCCGTCTAGTTTCGGCCATCCCACGGAGACCTAGATTCACAGAGTGCAGGGACCCCTGAAGGTCATCTAGTCCAACCCCTGGCAGAGCACAGCAGTACCTCAGCATCTCTGCCATGTGGACATCCAGGATCTCTTTAAGCACCGAGAACCCACCAGGTCCAAGGTTGGTTTCTTCCGCCCTGAGTCCGCCAGGAGAAGGGTGGGGTATAAATTTAATAAAACCTAAAAACCTAAAACCTAAAACCCTGCTGAACAAAACTCTGGATGCTAGAATGTTGTTTTCTTAAAGGTGCCGCCTTGATTTATCATTTATTCACATCCCGCCTGTATTATTTTTACAAATAACTCGAGGCAGTGAATATGTCCAACACATTTTCCTTCTCCTATTTTCTCCACAACAACATGCCTGTGAGGTGGGCTGGGCTGAGAGGGACCGGCCCAAAGACACACAACTGGCTTTCATGCCTACGGTGGGTGGGACTAGAACTCACCGTCTCCTGTTTATTGGTCCCAAATCTCCCAGTTGGCTTTCATGCCTAGGGCGGGACTAGAAGTCACAATCTCCTGGTGAGTGGCGCAAAGTCACCCAGCTGGCTTTCATGCCTAAGGTGAAACTAGAATTCACCGTCTCCCGGTGATTGGCCCCAAGACACCCAGTCGGCTTTCATGGCTAAAATAGGACTAGAATTCTCAGTCTCCTGGTGATTGATCCAAAGTCACCCAGTCAGCTTCCATGCCTAAGGCAGGACTAGAATTCACCATCTCCTGGTGATTGGCCCAAAGACACCCAACTGGCTTTCATGGCTAAGGCAGGAGTAAAATTCACGGTCACCTAGTTATTAGTCCAAAATCTCCCAGAGCGGGACTTGAACTCACAGTCTCCTGCTTTCTAGCCTGGTACCTTAACCATTAGACCAAACTGGCTCCCAATAATAATAATAACAACAACAACAACAACAATAATAATAATAAATAACATTAAACTGCTCTGGGA